AGTGGGGCCAGGACACTAGAAGCCCACCCACTGTTGCTCCCCCCCAAAAAAACACCAAGAAGACAGAGCATCCCTTGCCCCAGAGCCCCTATCTATACCTTGTGGCTAATAGCCACTGATGGACCTCTGCTCCATATGCTTATCTAATTCCCTTTTGAAGCCGTCCATGCTTGTAGCTGCCACCACTTCCTGTGGCAGTGAATTCCAAGTTTTAATCACTCTTTGGGTGAAGAAGGACTTCCTTTTATCCGTTCTAACCTGACCACTCAGCAATTTCATGGAGTGCCCACGAGTTCTTGTATTGTGAGAAAGGGAGAAAAGTACCTCTTTCTCTACCTGCTCTTTCCCATGCATAATCTTATAAAACTCGATCATGTCACCCCTCAGTCGTCGTTTCTCCAAGCTAAAGAGCCCCAAGCGCTTTAACCTTTCCTCATAGGGAAAGTGTCCCAACCCTTTTATCATTCGAGTTGCCCTTTTCTGCACTTTTCCCAAAGCTATAATATCCTTTTTAAGGTGTGGTGACCAGAACTGTACACAGTATTCCAAATGAAATCCACCTGCCTTGGATGGTTTGATTTACCCTCTCCCGGCTGTCTTTTCACAGAAACTGAACGTGCCCCAGGATTATTTTCCATCTCCAGCTGCTTGGTTCGCATGTGCATGGGAAGGAATCATAGTCATTGACACCAGAGAATCATAACCAATGGGAAGCCTTCTTACAGGCTTCCCCAGGCAACAGCTGGAGGATTTTTGTACTTCCTGCTCTGATAGGCTAAGGAAAGAAGGAGTGAGCATTGAGAGTTTCCGGAGAGCTCTGTTTCCTTTGCACCTTCTGAGATGAGACTTCCAGACTGGGGCCTCTAGCCGCAAACATGCTGTTTTGTGCCACCGGTTTGTGCCTTGAGAACATTGGTTGTTCCCAGTGACCTTTGCCGTAGTCGCCTTCCCTCCTGGGACTTTGCTCTGTGCCTGACATTCCACTTCCATTCCGTTTAGCATTTAACTCCTTGCCGTCCTTGCGTTAAATGTATCTGTGCAGCTTCCTGACTTGAGAACAACACACGCCGGCTTAGATTTCCCGATTTGCCCAGGTAAGGTTGTTTTTTAACTCTGGAACAAACACATTTTTAAAGACTCAGATGTTTTCTGCTGTCTTACAAAGCGGGGCTTTGAGGGTGTTTTGATGAGGATAAGCTGGTTAAGTGTGGTCTGGATGGTGCAACCGTTGGATGGATACATGGTTGGTTGAAAAATCGTACCCAACGAGTGCTCATAAATGGCTCTGCGTCTCGAGTGGAGTCTCGAGTGGCTCTCGAGTCTCGAGTGGCTCTCGAGTCTCGAGTGGAGTGCCACAGGGCTCGGTCCGGTGTTGTTCAATGTTTTTATAAATGACCTGGAGGAAGACATAGAGGGGATGCTTATCAAATTTGCAGACGATACGAAGCTAGGTGGGACTGCTAATTCTGAAGACAGAGTCAGGATTCAAAATGATCTAGATAGGCTGGAACAGTGGGCTGAGACATAATGAATTTCAATAAGAGAGAAGTGCAAAGTCCTGCACTTAGGTACAAAACATCAAAGGCACAGATATAGAATGGGAGGGACTTGGCTTGACAGCAGCACATTTGAAAGGGATCTGGTTGATCACAAGCTAAACATGAGCCTGCAGTGTGATGTGACTGCGAAGAAAGCTAATACAATCTTAGGATGTATTAACAGAAGCCTTGTGTCCAGATCACAGGAGGTGGTAGTTCCGCTCTATGCTGCTATGGTCAGGCCTCACCTGGAGTCCTGTGTCCAGTTTTGGGCACCACATTTTAGGAAGGATGTTGACAAGCTTGAGCGTGTCCAGAAGAGGGCAACTAGGATGGTGAGGGTTGGAATCCAAATCTTATGCGGAAAGGCTGAAAGAGTTGGGTCTGTCTAGCCTGGGAAAGAGAAGGCTTAGAGGGGACATGGTTGCAGTCTTCAAGTATTTGAAGGGCTGTCATATAGAACATGGAGCAGATCTATTCTCTCTTGCTCCGGATTGCAAGACTAGATCTAATGGGTGGAAATTACAAGGGAGTCGTTACCGGCTAAATATCAGGAGAAACGTCCTAACTGTAAGAGTAGTTGAGCAGTGGAACGGACTGCCTCGGGAGGTGGTGGATGCTCCTT